TTTTTTACGGGGCAGAGCCTCGGAGAAGGCGAGATTTCCTTAGGGTCAGACTCAGCCACGGCAGAGGGCAGATGATCGCAGTGTCCTCCGTCAACGCCAGCGCCAAAAATGACTGTCATATTTGTAATCGCGACTTCAATAACCCCCATGTACAAGTTTTCAGCGGGATATTCTGATCTCAAATATATTCTGGCGAAGGCGCCTATGGCGCATGCGCCAGGCACTACTAGTCCGGGCAGATGTGAAAATTCGTGTTCAGCATGTCAAGCTAGCCCTGGTGACTAGTTTTCAGCAAGCGGTAACTTAGTGTTCTGGGCGCTGGCGTCTATGGCGCTGGCGCCCAGGCAGCCTCAGACCAAATGGCGCCAGGCAGCCTCAGGCCGGATGTGATAATCGTGTTCAGGACGTCGAACTCCCTATATAACCGAGTTCTCGGCGAAGTCCTCCTCTTAGGAGGAAGCTGATCCTTCTGGCCTCTTTTTGGAAGATTGCGGTAGTAATAATTGAATAGTGCCTAACTTGTTAGAGAAAAAAACAACTTGTGAAATTAAGAGGGGTCGGAGCTTGTTCCCTTATATATTTTCTTTTTGAAAAAAGCCTGTTTGATCCAGATCTGACCTTCTTTTTAAAACCTGGTCCAGTTCCAGCGTATGGTGCATATTCGCTGTCATCCGGAGAGCTGCGCCGTCTCCTGAAAATGATGAGATCTGACATGTCCACGTTTTTTTTTAACGACAGTTGTTTTTTGCTTTGAAAGCCGCACAAGGCTGAAAGCTGGCTAAGAAAACCCGCTAGATTGTCGCCCAGGCATAATGGCTGCTTGAAGGCAAGCCGACAAAGAACGGACACGCACCCCGCCAGTCAATACTTGCCCTCAAGCGTCGAATTCCCTGTCTCCACTGAGCCTCACGAACATGCATGTGTGCTCGCGTGCTTAATGATGTCAATTTGCCCATGACCACGCCCACCCAAGTACACAAAAAACGGGAAAGAAAGCTACTCACGCAATCGATAATAAGAAAAATGTAATACTAACTTGATATAGTAGCCTCCACCAACCACCGACGCCACCATTCCAACGATGAATACAGTGCCTACGGCTGAAATTGAAATGATGAATCTGCAATCGAGATAAAATGGGCTTACTATACGTCAGTTCATAGAGGTTTATGAGATTAAAATGTGATATGACTAGTGCCTTTAGACGGGAACTGGACATCAGTACGAATTCAAGAAATTTTTCTTATTAATTAATACTAAAAACATTCTTCTAACAAATTTTTTTGAGAACAAAAAGCCAACCACACAGGCTCTCACCACGCTCATTCTTCTCGAAGAACGGTTGGGGAAAAAGCGATGTTGGCCGTATGACAGCGGATCAATTTCTTTTAACTAGATGGAACCTGGATACCAGGGGCGCGCTCCTGCCTCCCCGCTGGCCACTCCTAGGGGCGGAAAATTTTTGCAAAATGCGACCCCCCGCCCTCACATTTTCCTCCTCCGTTACGACCTCCTTCCCCATCCTATCTGCCACCTTCCTGAATTTGTCAACTTACCTCATCATTTTCCCCGAGTTTCGTGTTCCGAAATTCCGCTTCCACCACGGAGGGAGCCTGGAAGGAAGAGAGTGTGGAGGGGGAGTCATAGAGGCCAGTGATTCGAAGAACAACACCAACAAAACCAAGTTCGACTCGGCCAGCCCCCGAACAATTTTTTCAAGGATTTTTCAACAGTAGCCACAACCCCCATCGTCCAGCGACCAAAACGACCCCCTCGTTGAGAATCCCCAACGCAGACGTCTTGACTGGATAAACCACCATTTTATTCATAGAAAAGTGAATTATAAGCCAACGACTAACAAGGACTCCCACGCCTTCGTCTTTCCCATCGATGGCTGGGAAAAATGAGGTGGCTATGAACAGCGGGATCAATTCCTCAGGAGGGCATGTCCTGCTGGGCATTACGTGCTCTGTAGCAGGATGTGCCCTCCTGAGAAATCGTCCTGCTGGCAAAATGCGATTCAGTCTCACTACTTTTTCCTCCGCTACGACCTCCTTCCCCATCTTACCTGCCATCTTCCAAAATGTGCCCAACTTCCCACCTCTCCCTACTCTCCCTGCGTTTGTTCGAAAATTCCTTCACTTCTTCTCCAGAAAATGCCGTCGAACGGAGGGAGTAGAGAGGGAAGGAGGGGGAGGGGATGAATATAGCGCCAGTGAGACGGGAAAACCAAAAAAATCAACAAGAAACCAATTTTTTCAAAGGTAGACACCCCCCACCCTCCAGTGACCAAACGCGACCCCTGCTGAGCTCAACCAACGCAGGACTTGCCCTGACTTGATAAACCACCACAGAAGTAGAAAGAGTTAGCACCGCTACTTGAAGAGCTTTGTTTTTACCCTGAATCTAAGTAAAGGTCCAGTGCTCCGCAGGGAAGCCCCCAGCTTTTACTATTTGGATCTGGGCCACGTTTTTCATAGTAATTGACTGCTTGGGTGGCCAATGTTTTTCAAAGTAATTGACTGCATGGGCTGCATTTAATGAAGCGATGCAATCATGATGATGAAAAGCTGCAATTTCTGAATATAGTGAGGTTCCCTCTCCTTTGACGGTGGTCGCAATAAACACCGGCACCCTCGTCAGCCATCGGAGGCTCTAGAGCTGATGCCTGACTCAACAATTAGCTTGCTTGGCTTTCGCGTGCCAACAGAGAAGAAAGCATGCAAAGCATATCGCGATATCCGATATTACTCATAGATAACTAGATCTGCGGCCTTTTTCGTCAAATGCATTTTCTCTCGTTGAGAACGAGCATGAAGTTGACTCTGTTAGCACACTTCTGCCTTCAATCGATATGGAAGTGGGAACTTTTGAGGCTTTTGAGGAACGAACATCTTCTTAGCGGACTCTTTGTGATCCTAAACCCATAATCCTATTTTGTTTCGAACGTTCGTGTTGATGAAGCCGTTCGTCAGTTTATCGACTACCCAAAGCATTACTCAGGAAGTGAGACGTCAACAGCGCATAGAGGATGGGCAGCCAAAGCTTCCTTTACAAACAACTGGGATCACATTACCCACTCGCGCTTTTGGATAGCACTTTTTTGACATATGAATTCAGTGTAGATCTTCGGAAGAGCGTCGCACGATTCGTTAAACCCAAATTTCCCCACGATTTCACTGCCGCGTGGTGGACATAGCGCGCCGGAAAACGGAAATGAGAAAAACTGACAACCAAGAAGTCTCTCAACACCAATTCCGATACCACTTTCCCAGCGGAAGTCAAATACGCGGGAGTCCTTGGGCTTCAGAAGCCAGGCTTTATTGAAATCCGCCTGTGTACTTCTGGCCTTGCCTGGCCACATTTTACACTCGAAATCCCTGAGATGTGGTGGGCGTGGCTGCGTACTCCAATGGCGGTAGCTGTGCTTTCGATG